GGGGAGCTGCGCCGCTGCACGCACGCTCCCCACCCGCCACTCATTTTTAAAAGACTAAAAGAAGCGACAGCAACCCAACGCGAGCCAAACAGCACCCGCTGGCGAGCCCGGAAAGCAGCAGCCAACGCCTCCTGGCTACGGAGCAAACCAGACTGGTGACACGAGCGCAGGCGTCACCCCTGGGAAAGGTTACGGTGAGGTTACGGCCTCGTGCGAGCTGGCAGCCCCTTGGTGAGGGGAGCTGACCTCTCTCTGCTCGTGCTGGGTGCTCCAAGGCTCTCCTAACTGTCCCCCTGCTTGTGCAGGTTTGTTTCTAAAGCTACGGCCATGTACCGGCACGCGCTGCTGCCCGTCAGGGACGCGTTCCTGGGAAGCACAACCGTTCGTCACACAAGGAATAGCAAATCACGAGAGGTACAGTGGGGCAGGCGGTCTCACAGAGGAAGCAGGCAAAATCTTTCGGCACAACGACCCGCTCCAAAACCAGCCTTTGAAAAGCCAGCACCTCCCAAAGGTCCTGCTTCCGCCCTCGACCCGCCGCAGCGCGCGCAGGCTCCGCGCAGGTGCCAGTTAAGGCTCTGTAACGTCCTCTACCGCGTTAATTCTCACAGGGACAAACTGCATCGCTGCCCGTCGGCTCAGCTGCTTCGTCTGCGCGCTCAGACGGCCCCGCGGCACGAGCACACGCCAACAAGGACAGCGCTCCCCAAGGACGGCTAAAGAGGGGGTGGGCGCGGTGGCATCTTCACAAACAACCGCTCAGATCCAAACTCTACGCAAACTCTATGCAGGGAAAACACTTGGAATAGCCTCCGCGAACGTTATAAAAAGAACAGATGGGACCAAACCAGGGACGAACGTTAGCTTTGAAGAGCAGCTGCTGTGGGGAGAGAAGGCAACCCTTCACGGGAGGGTTTTCCCATCTCTGAAGACAGTACAAGGCACTATCTACGACAAATGTTGGGAATGTGCGGAGGGGGTTGGTTAAGCCCCTGCTCTGAGCTGAACGCAGCTTCCAAGAAACAATCCTAGGAAAGACAGACATCCACCAGTAACTGACTATTGCTGTTCCCTACTTCTCCCCAGGCGCTTCTCCTGTGCTCCTCCCCAGCCCGCGGGGTGGTTGGGCACCTGCACGGACTGCAGTCGCTGCCTGCTGCAGCCTGCAAAGCCAGCCATCCCTCTACTTCCCCAGCAGGACCCCTCCTCCCTCCCTGCTGTATTTTAGCTAGTCTGCTCACTGTCTGCACATAAATTAAAGGCAGAAACGGGTTCCTGCGGAAGCGGCCTGGCTAAGCTTAGCCGTGGCATCGCTACCCTCCCGCCTTGCCAGCCCTGGGCTAACGCCACCAGTCGTTCTCAGCGAAGCTCAGCACACGCGGCCTGAGGGCCCCACCGGGTCAGTCAGGAAGAGCTCTTCCCCTACAGCTGAGCTGCCTGGGCGCAGAGGAACGTTTTCTCTTATCCGTTCCATAAGCCAAATCCTTTTCCACGAAGCAACCGAATTTAGTTTTTAAATATTGTCCTCTGCAAGCAACCAGCCTGCTCTCCCCAGCTCAGGCTCCCAAACCACAGTAAGAGTCTCCCTCGCCCCTACAACATTCAGCTAAGGTAACACAAACCAGCTGTTAAAGGTCTCCAGAGGGAGACGATCGCATACCTCGAGGCCAGAGCGCATACACCTAACCCGTTCCTGACCAACATCTGTCTGAGCCGCTCTTGGAACACGCCTGGAGCTAGAAGCTCTGCCGTCTTCTCGCACAATCCACCCACCACCTGCCTGCCCACGCTACGAGAGCTTACTATGATGTCTGGCGCTCCCCACCTACGGCTGAGTTCCGAGACTACACACGGGATCTCACTACCAGCGTGGAGAACACTCCGGGATACGCACAACCACCTGGCAAACGCGCCGTTCGGTGCTAACGGTGTCTCATTATTTACGGTCGAGCACGGGGGAATTCAATTAAACCCAGACAGTATCGTTCTGTTTGCTTTGCAACCAGGTGATGCTCACGTGCTCGCTCGCTGCCTTCTCAAGGGGAAAGGAGAACAGGGTTAGGTTAAAAAGAATTAAGTTCCACCGAAAATCAAGACACCAAAAAGACAAAATGACACTTGGTACCTTGCAAGCATTTCTGTATTTCACAGGCTTGTTTCTGGCAGGGATCCTTCTGGGACATGTTCAGAGAACTAAAATGATAGGAAAATGTTACTGTAGAAACAACGTGCTTTCGGGGGGTGGGGGGCAAGACACTGTCTTAAAGCCAAGGCTTTACAGAGCTCCCTATTTCCCTGTCTGTCACAGGCAGTTCAGAAACACCTATCGCTGCTTGCAGACGCCTGCCAGCCCACACACGCTTCCCTGTGCCTGGCTACAGGATGAGAACGTGGGCAGTGAACACGGGAGGTTTCACGCTGCTAGGCCTGAGGGGCCTTTGTTCTTTTCTGTAGTCAAAATGTGTCCTTTTTACACAATGATTCACATTAACGTGGCTAATTTCTAACAGTTCTGTGCCTCTAGACCTTACACTGCAATGTGTGGTTGTGTAAAAACTCTCTGTGAGCTCTGCACAACCGAGGATTTGGTGTGAGTCACGTAACTGCAGCTGGAGGAGGCGTTTAAAACAAACACCACAACTTAGACGTGTATGTCTCATAAGGACAACAAGGAGGGCTTTTTTTTCCCCCCACGTTCCAGGAGAAAGTCTCTTGGAAATCCTCCCCCTCCTAAAAAAAAAACCCAAACAGACTGGAAGACAGCTCCACCTTGTCCACATCCCTGGAAAGTGGGATTTCAGACACTCAGTTGGACTTTCTGCTGCTGTGACCGATACTTTCTGTAACTGTGATCATCCGTGAGAGACCAAAAGACGAACAAAGCTGGTGGTACTAGTAGTTGGATGGGAGACCTCTACAGGAAAGCACCGCTGCTACGGAACGCGGTGACGGGACTGAGCTCCCTCAGCCAGCGTCCAGCTCCTGCCCCTGCCCAGAGCTAGGGAGGTGCTGCCTTTCTCCTCTCTGGTAATTCCCCATCCCACAGCGCTTTCCGGTATCGCTCGGGCGTTTATTTCCAGCATCCTGGCCAAACTCCACTTGGGGCAATTGCATTCTGCCTACCTAGAACTCCCCCTGATGTTTCACTGGGACTCAACACTCCTCTTCACTGCCTGTCCTAAACTCTCGTGTGATGTTGCTGTGTGTTGTTTAACTGCTTCCACCTCAGAGGTGGCTGCATTTCAGTGGAGAGAGAGTTATTTATTGTACAAAATATACAACGACATCTTCCTAGAGCCACTGCTCCTGAAAGACAAAAATTGACGTTAAAGAATGACGGGGGATAAACAGAGCACAGTACAAAGCAGGGTTAATGTCTACACATACCAGATTAATCACCAGGCACGAGTTTAAGCAGCAGTTCTTCAACACCACCGAGCTGTAAGCGACAAGGAAAAGTTCAATACGTCTACAGTTACTGTGGCTGAGCTTAACGGACTTCAACAAAATAACAGTCCTTTGCCGTCCCTCAAGGATCTCAAACGACTTCACAAACAGGCATGACTATGGCCTATTGTTGCCACCATCCTTACCATGAGATGGTGCTCTATCTCCCAAACGCGAGAGTTACTATCCCTGTACTGCTCACCCTGGGACAGCTGCCACATATGAGGCAGCCGGGATGGGGGGAGCTGGCTGGGTCGCAGCGCCTCACCCAGGGGAACCTGAACTCTTTGGATCCGAGCCCTCAGCATACCTTCCTCCTGGGGGAGAGTAACAAAGAGAGCAGGCAGTTACTGGCAACGCGGTAGAGGCACCTGCAACAGCAAAGCTACAATCACTGGGAAGCTCAAAGGACACTTGCCTCTTCCGCAGCCACGAGCCACGTTTTGCGGTGCTCATCGCAGTAAACACCCACGCGTCGCACCCACAGCCGCACCGGAGGAGAGCCAGCGTGCCCTCCCTCTGCCATGCCCTCCGCCACGTCAGGACGCTCCCGTTAGGTGGACGGCGTCAGCCCGCCGGATGCACGCATGGTCTTTTTTTAGCTCGGAATACATTCACGGAGAAAGCTCCCGGACCTGAAAGGCACCTCTGGGTGGTGTCTGACTTACTGTGTGAGATGCTACGTGCGGGAACGTCCCTAAAAGTCAGCTGGGGAAACTAAGGCGGCGCCTAAGCGAACCGCGATCTGGTGACAAGCTGTACGCTGGGACGTGCGTGCTGCATGGTGCTTGTAAGGCATTCTGGGGCAAAAAAAGGTGCTATTGGTATAGTTAAACCCTGTGAATATTGGCTTTGCTTATTCCACTAACAGTCCTATTAACAGTCTTTGTGTAAAACAGGAGGGAAGAAAAAACCAAAAAGGAAAAAAAGTGATTTACACAGGAGTTCCGTGGCTAACGATGGTCTAAATCCCAAAAGCAAAACTGGTGACAAAAGGTGGAATGAGCTTAACAAGAACGAAGATCGCTCTGGAGACAAAGCACGACACTCCGGAGGCGCGACTCTCCTATTTGGAACTTGCGGAGCCGTCGCTGTGAAGGGTCCCTCGTCTCATCTCTCGAGAGGACGGCGGCATTGTCCAGTCACATGCAAGCTTCTCGCGAGCGGCTCTCCTGACTTTGCGTAGTTCGGCTTTAGATGGTTACAGAGAGCCACCGATACCAGCAGGGGCAAAGGAATTTTGGACATTGGAGTTGGTTCTTCCTACCGGAATTTTTGCTTAACGGCAAGTGTATCTGTGTGCCAGTTAGATCAAGCTGAGCCATTAGCAAAGGAAGGCCAGGGGAAATGGTTCTCTCTTGGAACCCTAGAAGAGGTAATCAAAATGGTACAGACAGTCTTCATTCTTTATCTAGGTTTAAAGTAGAACAGAATTAAGCTGTAACACATATAACATCCTCCTGCTACCAAGCAGATCCAATATTCCTATCCCAGTGAATCACAGTGGTCTTCCGAAAGCTTGTAAGGTTATAAGGCATATTTTCAGACAGGAGCAAGAAAATCTGGGTACAAAATAAAGCAGGGAAAGTCAGGGAGAGAAGAAAATCGTTACACATCGGGGTACATATATAACAGGAAACACACTTCCATGCTGCCTTCTACATCTTACAGCTGCGCCCCTCTACCTTTACGAATCAAAGGGTCGCTTAGCCTTTTGGAGAGCAAAACACCAACCACGGATCAGCCTGAACAGCGCTGTCACAGCAATTTCATTTCTAACACGGAAAACATCGAATGAATGTTCTTTGATTGCTTCTGTCCCATTCTGTTCGTTTCCTTGCTTGTCGTGTGGGAAGGTGTATGTGCATTACAGGAAGCGCTACCTGTCCTGGAGACTATCCTGTGGTGTGCTACAGCCATTCCGAACAATGCCCCAGCAGCTGGATCGCTGGCATTTAGAGGAATGTTGACAGACTCGCAAGCCTCACAAGGCTTTCGAGAATAAGCTACGAGGGGCAAAGGGACATTTCTGTAGGCCCTTTTCATTCTGCTTTACCCTAAGTCACTTTACCAATCTCAGCCCATCTGTGGAAATCACTTTGTCCGACAGTGAAACGCAGCGATTGCCACTGCCCGTTTTCAGTCAGCTGAATGTAATCACCCGGGTTGGAATTTGGCCAGGATACTCTCCTACTCTGCAGTAAACTGCCAACAGTTCCATCATGACCAAAAATGCTCAAGAACTCACTTTTATTCCGTTCAAAGCTGCAATTTCTACAGCTCATCATTCCCAGAACCAGAAGACTCCAGACTGACTCCAGTGTTGGAAAAATACTACCAGAACCAGAAGACTCCAGACTGACTCCAGTGTTGGAAAAATACTCCTCAGTAAGCGAGCGCTATTTCCTACAGCACGTAAACTCTCTTGGAAGGTCTCCTATCCAAATACTAACCTGGCTCAGGCTTGCAGAGCTCCAGGTAGGAGGACTGAAGCGCCACACGTATGTTTGTGTTTACTGTGCGTGAACAATGCGGTAACGGCAGGGACAGGGCCGACAGAACAAGGTCTCACGCAGAGGTCACTGTGCAGAACGGGCAGTGGTTACCGTGTGCTTTCACCCTTCGCCCCACTAATTTGTCCCCAGCTGCCGCCAAACTCCGTGGCGCTGAGTTCAGTTGCCAAAGGTCAAAGGCCCAGTCTGGCCTCTCTTTAAGTCTCTAAGACCGTTAGGAAGGTGCCCCGTTAGTGCCACAAATAGAATCCTGAGGTCAGGCAAAACCGTCAATTGGGTTTGAAGTGAGACAGGTCTGTCTTTAGCACTCAAACGTAACAAAAGAAACAGGAGATTTGGCAAAGCATGTGCTTAGACATTTGCACCTGAAACTTTAAGAAGGTAAAAACATATACAACTCCTAGTTTTGCAGATTTTACCAGAAAGCAATAAGAAGCCTGAAGGAAGACATGGGTGCGAGGAGAAGTAAGCTTACTCATTTTTAAAACAAGCTGTAAAACCTGTTTCTGACATTGCTTGCTTCATAATCTATTAAAAAAAACATCACAGCCAACAAAAAAACAACCAGCTTAAATCTGCAGGATTGCAGCGTCATCCTTGGACACAGATTTTAATGTTCCCATCAAAATAATTGCAGTAGTCTGAGCTGCATTGATTGGAGGAGATTTAAAGCGCAATCCCCATGGGCAGGAACAAGACTTGCAGGCATTCTGTCCATCTCAGCACCAGGCCTTAGAAGTTTAATGCTGTTCTGGGACCTGGGTGGGTTTCTGAGACATACAATATAGGAGTAAACGTGAAAATGGCCAGGAGGAGGACTGCGTTTTGTGGTGAAGACAATTTATTTGCTCTTAAATTGGGTACATTAAAATATTTTAGGAAAACAGCAAAAGAAATGGCTCCAGCTGCCGCCTGGACCATCCCTGGAGCTGCAGCTCAGCAGGCTGAACCAACTCCGCCCGTTATTACCTCCTACCTCAAATGGGGACTGGGTCAGATTGTTGGAAGAGTTCAGCTGCCATTTAGGCACCGGGGCAAGGCTCAGCGACTCGGGCAGAGCATTGCGCTAACGCGGCTACGGAGCTTCTGGGCCAAGGCTGAGCGGTTCGGCCTTCCGGAGGAGAGCGGGCGGCTGCCTGCGCAGCCCTCGGGGAGCTAAGAGGGAGCTGAGCTTTCCTGAAAGAGCCAGCCTGCGTCTTGCAACAAGTCAGGGCTCGGATGAGCTGTCTGCTGAGGTAAGAGCGTGTTGACTCACTCTAAAGCTTCTTCTTGGGGGTTTGGGCTCTACACTGCCCCGAGCACTCGCCCCAAGCAAGCGTCTCCGGGACTCCGCTCTGCCCGACCTACGGAGGGGTAGCAGATGCTCACCGACCAGCCGGGGCTGTCCAGCAGTTGGGGGAGGGAAGGTCTGGCTTTGGTAGGATCTACAGAAACAGGAAGACAAAAAGAGATGGACACAGCGTGGGGGGAGCCCCGGAGAAGGAGGAGAGAAGGGGTGCGGGAGCCGGGGCTGGGGGAGGTGGTGCAGGGGGCGGTGCGGCC